CATACCGAACAACAATTCATCCGCTAACCAACAATTAAACCGCCTTCAGCGTTTACATACCGAACAACAATTCATCCGCTAACCAACAATTAAACCGCCTTCAGCATTTACATACCGAACAACAATTCATCCGCTAACCAACAATTAAACCGCCTTCAGCGTTTACATGCCGACCAACAATTAAACCGCCTTCAGCGTTTACATACCGACCAACAATTCAACTGCTAACCAACAATTCAACCGCCTTCAGCATTTACATACCGAACAACAATTCAACTGCTAACCAACAATTCAACCGCCTTCAGCGTTTACATACTGACCAACAATTCAACCGCTAACCAACAATTAAACCGCCTTCAGCGTTTACAATACCGAACAACAATTCATCCGCTAACCAACAATTCAACCGCCTTCAGCATTTACATACCGACCAACAATTCAACTGCTAACCAACAATTCAACCGCCTTCAGCGTTTACATACTGACCAACAATTCAACCGCTTTCAGCGACCAACAATTCAACCGCCTTCAGCGTTTACATACCGACCAACAATTCAACTGCTAACCAACAATTCAACCGCCTTCAGCGTTTACATACTGACCAACAATTCAACCGCCTTCAGCGTTTACATACCGACCAACAATTCAACCGCTTTCAGCGACCAACAATTCAACCGCCTTCAGAGTTTACATACCGACCAACAATTCAACTGCTAACCAACAATTCAACCGCCTTCAGCGACCAACAATTCAACCGCCTTCAGCGTTTACATACTGACCAACAATTCAACCACTTTCAGCGACCAACAATTCAACCGCCTTCAGCGTTTACATACCGACCAACAATTCGACCGCCTTCAGCGTTTACATACTGACCAACAATTCAACCGCTTTCAGCGACCAACAATTCAACCGCCTTCAGCGTTTACATACCGACCAACAATTCAACCGACTTCAGAGTTTACATACCGACCAACAATTCAACCGCCTTCAGCGTTTACATACTGACCAACAATTCAACCGCTTTCAGCGACCAACAATTCAACCGCCTTCAGCGTTTACATACCGACCAACAATTCAACTGCTAACCAACAATTCAACCGCTTACAGCGACCAACAATTCAACCGCCTTCAGAGTTTACATACCGACCAACAATTCAACCGCTTTCAGCGTTTACATACTGACCAACAATTCAACCGCTTTCAGCGTTTACATACCGACCAACAATTCAACCGCTTTCAGCGACCAACAATTCAACCGCCTTCAGCGACCAACAATTCAACCGCCTTCAGCGTTTACATACTGACCAACAATTCAACCGCTTTCAGCGACCAACAATTCAACCGCCTTCAGCGTTTACATACTGACCAACAATTCAACCGCTTTCAGCGACCAACAATTCAACCGCCTTCAGAGTTTACATACTGACCAACAATTCAACCGCCTTCAGCGTTTACATACCGACCAACAATTCAACCGCTTTCAGCGACCAACAATTCAACCGCCTTCAGAGTTTACATACCGACCAACAATTCAACTGCTAACCAACAATTCAACCGCCTTCAGCGACCAACAATTCAACCGCCTTCAGCGTTTACATACTGACCAACAATTCAACCGCTTTCAGCGACCAACAATTCAACCGCCTTCAGCGTTTACATACCGACCAACAATTCGACCGCCTTCAGCGTTTACATACTGACCAACAATTCAACCGCTTTCAGCGACCAACAATTCAACCGCCTTCAGCGTTTACATACCGACCAACAATTCAACCGACTTCAGAGTTTACATACCGACCAACAATTCAACCGCCTTCAGCGTTTACATACTGAACAACAATTCAACCGCTTTCAGCGACCAACAATTCAACCGCCTTCAGAGTTTACATACCGACCAACAATTCAACCGCTTTCAGCGTTTACATACTGACCAACAATTCAACCGCTTTCAGCGACCAACAATTCAACCGCCTTCAGCGTTTACATACCGACCAACAATTCAACCGCTTTCAGCGACCAACAATTCAACCGCCTTCAGAGTTTACATACCGACCAACAATTCAACCGCTTTCAGCGTTTACATACTGACCAACAATTCAACCGCTTTCAGCGTTTACATACTGACCAACAATTCAACCGCTTTCAGCGACCAACAATTCAACCGCCTTCAGCGTTTACATACCGACCAACAATTCAACCGCCTTCAGCGACCAACAATTCAACCGCCTTCAGCGTTTACATACTGACCAACAATTCAACCGCTTTCAGCGACCAACAATTCAACCGCCTTCAGCGTTTACATACCGACCAACAATTCGACCGCCTTCAGCGTTTACATACTGACCAACAATTCAACCGCTTTCAGCGACCAACAATTCAACCGCCTTCAGCGTTTACATACCGACCAACAATTCAACCGCCTTCAGCGTTTACATACCGACCAACAATTCAACCGCCTTCAGCGTTTACATACCGACCAACAATTCAACCGCTTTCAGCGACCAACAATTCAACCGCTTTCAGCGACCAACAATTCAACCGCCTTCAGAGTTTACATACCGACCAACAATTCAACCGCCTTCAGAGTTTACATACCGACCAACAATTCAACCGCCTTCAGCGTTTACATACCGACCAACAATTCAACCGCTTTCAGCGACCAACAATTCAACCGCTTTCAGCGACCAACAATTCAACCGCCTTCAGAGTTTACATACCGACCAACAATTCAACCGCTTTCAGCGACCAACAATTCAACCGCCTTCAGCGTTTACATACCGACCAACAATTCAACTGCTAACCAACAATTCAACCACTTTCAGCGACCAACAATTCAACCGCCTTCAGCGTTTACATACTGACCAACAATTCAACCGCTTTCAGCGACCAACAATTCAACCGCCTTCAGAGTTTACATACCGACCAACAATTCAACCGCCTTCAGCGTTTACATACTGACCAACAATTCAACCGCTTTCAGCGACCAACAATTCAACCGCCTTCAGAGTTTACATACTGACCAACAATTCAACCGCTTTCAGCGTTTACATACCGACCAACAATTCAACTGCTAACCAACAATTCAACCGCTTTCAGCGACCAACAATTCAACCGCCTTCAGCGTTTACATACTGACCAACAATTCAACCGCTTTCAGCGACCAACAATTCAACCGCCTTCAGAGTTTACATACCGACCAACAATTCAACCGCCTTCAGCGTTTACATACTGACCAACAATTCAACCGCTTTCAGCGACCAACAATTCAACCGCCTTCAGCGTTTACATACCGACCAACAATTCAACTGCTAACCAACAATTCAACCGCTTTCAGCGACCAACAATTCAACCGCCTTCAGAGTTTACATACTGACCAACAATTCAACCGCTTTCAGCGTTTACATACCGACCAACAATTCAACTGCTAACCAACAATTCAACCGCTTTCAGCGACCAACAATTCAACCGCCTTCAGCGTTTACATACTGACCAACAATTCAACCGCTAACCAACAATTAAACCGCCTTCAGCGTTTACATACCGAACAACAATTCATCCGCTAACCAACAATTCAACCGCCTTCAGCGTTTACATACTGACCAACAATTCAACCGCTAACCAACAATTCAACCGCCTTCAGCGTTTACATACCGACCATCAATTCAACCGCCTTCAGCGTTTACATACCGACCAACAATTCAACCGCTTTCAGCGTTTACATACCGACCAACAATTCAACCGCTTTCAGCGTTTACATACCGACCAACAATTCAACCGCTTTCAGCGTTTACATACCGACCAACAATTCAACCGCCTTCAGCGTTTACATACCGACCAACAATTCAACCGCCTTCAGCGTTTACATACCGACCAACAATTCAACCGCTTTCAGCGTTTACATACCGACCAACAATTCAACCGCCTTCAGCGTTTCTGCCAGACAGGTGAGCAAAATCGGCATTTCCCAAAACACTGAGTCAGTATTGTTCTGTCTGTGATGTTAGCTATTGCAGCAGGAGAGCTCTGAGTATTGCTGTCTGGAGCTGTTGTGCTGGCTTTGGTGTAAAACATTTTAAAATCTTAAATAAAGTTTGTTGGTAAAAATAATAATCTGTTATCTTTTCTATGAATCATTGAGTCAAATAAAATGTCCAAGTTAAGATCTTTTTATTAAAAAAAAACAAACAGATTCTAATTAGCATCCATTTAATGTTTATATAAACATATACATTTTACATCCTCACATTTATCCTTAAACAGGAAACAGTCTGAAGGAACCTTGTTTTATCTGAGTGATTATTCATGGAGGTAAAATTTCAGATCTCATGAACATCTGAGTCTCCTTCAGTTACTAACGTGAGAAATGAGATTTAGGAGCAGCAGCAAGTTTTTATTTTCTGTTTTATTTCCCAACACATTTCTTCTCTTTGTTGATGGAATAAAACAAACACGTACGTTTTATGATTTTCTAACATTTTGTAGAAACTGACGATTATGTACAAAACAATCAACAGAAATGAATAATTTTGAACGGTCTTACAGGATCAAACTTTGCACAAAGAGCTTTTTACAATATAAGTGTGTATTATTTCAACACTAACTTATATATTTCCATTTACTGGAGACAGTTGTGTTCATTTAGTTTCATGGTGAAGCTGGTTGTGCTCTTACACAGGAGGATCACTGACTGATTATTGACCGAAATAATCATTTATTCGGCCTTAAAATGGACATTTCTGTAAATATTTCGGAGAAACGTATCGTCATTTCTGGTTTAGAGGAAAATAAATCTCGTTTTAATATTAAGATTTTTATAATATTTCAGGGCTGAAACTGAATCCTCAGCTCTGACTGGAAACAGCGGCGTGTTTGTGTCGGTCTCTATTGTTGCAGACAGACAGACAGAGAGACAGACGGCCGCAGGGTGTGCCGGTGAACACACACGGTGCCTCCGGGTCCGGCAGACACACAGTCGGTAGAGCTCGTCGGTAACTCACCGCCACCACCACCGTGTCCTCGCCGTTAAATTTGGGGATGTATTTGTCTCCGCGGCTCCGCTCCGCGTCGTTCAGCGGCCTGAAGCGACACATCACCTTCACCCCGCACACCCCGCACTCCACCGCGTCCACCATCACCGACACAGCCCGGTAAACACGGACACCAGTCACCGGGAGAGACGCACCAGCTTCGGTTCAGGGTCACCGGACAGAGAAGCGACAGTCCGCCGTCAGAGGAACCTGATCTGCGGGGACGCTGAAGACCCGGGTCCGGTCTCTCCGTGAGGATGCTGAGCGACTGAACACTCCCACCTGGAACACCGAGCCGCAGGGAACTCTGGGATATGGAGTCCTCCCTGTGTCTGCAGAGAAACTGATCGATTAGTTTATTGATTGGTGAACTTCAATCAGCTGGTGTTTCATGCAAGAGAAGAAGAGAAAGTTAAATATCACAGCATTTAGAAAATCATTAAAAAAAATCTTTAGGATAAAAATACAAAAAATCCTCTAAGAATATAAAAAAAGTCTTTCAGACCTCAGAGACTTCTGATGAAGCAGGATTTAAAGTTTCAGCAGGACTGACTGACAGATGGATTCCTGGGTCCCTATTGATCCTGTGGATGAAGCCTCTCTTCTGTCCTGAAAGTGGCGCTACAGGAGGTCCGAGGACGTGGTCTGGGTCTGAGGGGTCATGGGAGGTGGTCTGGGTCTGAGGGGTCATGGGAGGTGGTCTGGGTCTGAGGGGTCATAGGAGGTGGTCTGGGTCTGAGGGGTCATAGGACATGGTCTGGGTCTGAGGGGTCATGGGAGGTGGTCTGGGTCTGAGGGGTCATAGGACATGGTCTGGGTCTGAGGGGTCATGGGAGGTGGTCTGGGTCTGAGGGGTCATAGGACATGGTCTGGTTCTGAGGGGTACGAGGAAGTGGTCTGGGTCTAAGGGGTCATAGGACGTGGTCTGGGTTTGAGGGGTTCTGAAGAGGTGGTCTGGGTCTGATGGGTCATAGGACGTGGTCTGGGTCTGAGGGGGTGGTCTGGGTCTGAGGGGGTGGTCTGGGTCTGAGGGGGTGGTCTAGGTCTGAGGGGTCTGAGGGGGTGGTCTGGGTCTGAGGGGTCATAGGACATGGTCTGGGTCTGAGGGGTCCGAGGAGGTGGTCTGGGTCTAAGGGGTCATAGGACATGGTCTGGGTCTGAGGGGTCTGAGGAGGTGGTCTGGGTCTGAGGGGTCCGAGGAGGTGGTCTGGGTCTGAGGGGTCATAGGACATGGTCTGGGTCTGAGGGGTCCAAGGAGGTGGTCTGGGTCTGAGGGGTCATAGGAGGTGGTCTGGGTCTGATGGGTCACAGGACGTGGTCTGTGTCTGAGGGGTCTGAGGAGGTGGTCTGTGTCTGAGGGGTCTGAGGAGGTGGTCTGGGTCTGAGGGGTCTGAGGAGGTGGTCTGGGTCTGAGGGGTCATAGGAGGTGGTCTGGGTCTGAGGGGTCTGAGGGGGTGGTCTGGGTCTGAGGGGTCTGAGGAGGTGGTCTGGGTCTGAGGGGTCTGAGGAGGTGGTCTGGGTCTGAGGGGGTGGTCTGGGTCTGAGGGGTCATAGGACATGGTCTGGGTCTGAGGGGTCCGAGGAGGTGGTCTGGGTCTAAGGGGTCATAGGACATGGTCTGGGTCTGAGGGGTCCGAGGAGGTGGTCTGGGTCTGAGGGGTCTGAGGAGGTGGTCTGGGTCTGAGGGGTCATAGGAGGTGGTCTGGGTCTGAGGGGTCTGAGGAGGTGGTCTGGGTCTGAGGGGTCATAGGAGGTGGTCTGGGTCTGAGGGGTCTGAGGAGGTGGTCTGGGTCTGAGGGGTCCGAGGAGGTGGTCTGGGTCTGATGGGTCATAGGACGGGGTCTGGATCTGAGGGGTCCGAGGACGTGGTCTGGGTCTGAGGGGGTGGTCTGGGTCTGAGGGGTCCGAGGACGTGGTCTGGGTCCGAGGACGTGGTCTGGGTCTGAGGGGTCTGAGGGGTCCGAGTAGGTGGTCTGGGTCTGAGTGGGTGGTCTGGGTCTGAGGGGTCTGAGGGGTCCGAGTAGGTGGTCTGGGTCTGAGTGGGTGGTCTGGGTCTGAGGGGTCTGAGGGGTCCGAGTAGGTGGTCTGGGTCTGAGTGGGTGGTCTGGGTCTGAGGGGTCCGAGGACGTGGTCTGGGTCTGAGGGGGTGGTCTGGGTCTGAGGGGTCCGAGGACGTGGTCTGGGTCTGAGGGGCTCACAGTTCAAGGCGCAGTGTTATGATGAAGTAGTACTGCAGTATGTAAACAGGCATACTGCAGTACTAACAGTAAGAAGTATTGGAACAGTGTTAAACACAATGACATCATCGCTAAGCCCCGCCTCCAACAGGAAATAGATAAACTAATATTTTCTACTTCTGCTGAAGTACACGAGTAAAGTATTGTACTTTTTACTTCATGGAAATAGTTTAACATTAACAGTTCTGATGAGTCACATTACTGCCGACGTCCAACAGCAGTGAAGGAAGAAGTACTCTTTACTTCAGTCCTGCATTAAAACTCTTACTTGATTAAAAGCAGTATAATGTATATTCTCACTTTAATTTAATTCCTCTGTAGTAACCCATGGTAACGAAGTTACTGATGATCGGGGGCGTCTCGCTCTGAGAGAAGAAGAGAAAATATTTCAACAGTATTTTGAAGAAATATTCAGTGTAGAAATATCTGAGTCTCCCAGAAGAACCTGAGCATTAAGAGTTCAGTAAAGAGAAACACTGAAGTCAGGTGACCTGTCAGAATATTAAAACTTGAATTCCTTTTTCTAGATAACGCACATTTGCTTCTTCTATATTTAAACTGAATCACGTTTTCTTAATATTTCTTGTTGCTGTTTTTCAGAACATTTTTATTTTTATTATTTTCTTCTGTTTCTGTCCTGAGAACACCTGTGGTGATTATGTTTAATAATCTGAAGCTGCAAAGTGACTGAAGGTCAGAAACATGAAGCAGCAGCAGAACTCTTTTATTTGATGAAACAGAGACGCAGCAGAACGTTCTGTGTATCGATGCATTTTATTGATCCGAAGCGTGAACAGAGGGAACACATGATTCACACTCGTCTGATCAGCGACTTCTCTCCTCCTCCAGTTTAAAAATATAAAAACTTTTCTTTACAGATTTTATTTTCCCGTGTCTAAACATTAAAAGATTGACTCAGTCCTGATTCACAATCACTTCCCAGCTCTGATTCAAAGAAATACAAAATGTAAACATGAGAAATAAATAACCAATCAGAGCGCAGATACAGACTCATCATGGACTAATCAGAGCGCAGATACTGGACTTATTATGAACCAATCAGAGTTGATTCTGCAGTCACATGATGATACTCAGAAACAAACAAAAAGTATTTTACATCAAAGACATTTACAAACTGTACAACAACAACAACAACAACAGCTGCCGCCGCGCTCTTCTTCTCCTGGAGGTCGCAGCGTGTCACATTCAGCGGTCAGAGGAGCAGTGCATCATGGGAGACAATGCTATGTGACCTCCATGGGCAGCGTGGTCTCTGACAGGCCGTTCAGGATTCTCTCCGGCTCGTGAGGATCCCTGCAGGACAAAGGTTCCCCATCAGTGATGACATCACTCATGACATCACTTCCCCCCCGTCATTTCATATGTAACTGCTGGCTTCAGCTGAGCAGTGAAGTCTCTAACATCCTCCAGCTGTTGTCATGGAGGAGAGGAAGAGGACTCCAGTGGCAACCTGTGAAGCTCTGGTGAACTCCAGGCCCAAGAGCGTTAAGGCAGCGCTGGGAAATAATGGTGGTCACACAAAATATTGACACTTTGGGCCCAAAGTGGACATTTTCACTTAGGGGTGTCTTCACTGTTGTTGCCAGCGGGTTATACATTAATGACTGTGTGATGTGTCATTTTGAGGGGACAGCAGATTTGCACAAGCTGCACGCTCACTATTTTACACTGTTATACAAGCTGCACGCTCACTACTTTACACTGTTATACAAGCTGCACGCTCACTACTTTACACTGTTATACAAGCTGCACGTTCACTACTTTACACTGTTATACAAGCTGCACGCTCACTACTTTACACTGTTATACAAGCTGCACGCTCACTACTTTCCACTGTTATACAAGCTGTACGCTCACTACTTTCCACTGTTATACAAGCTGCACGCTCACTACTTTACACTGTTATACAAGCTGTACGCTCACTACTTTCCACTGTTATACAAGCTGCACGCTCACTACTTTACACTGTTATACAAGCTGTACGCTCACTACTTTACACTGTTATACAAGCTGTACGCTCACTACTTTCCACTGTTATACAAGCTGCACGCTCACTACTTTACACTGTTATACAAGCTGCACGCTCACTACTTTACACAGTTATACAAGCTGTACGCTCACTACTTTACACTGTTATACAAGCTGCACGCTCACTACTTTACACAGTTATACAAGCTGCACTACTTTCCACTGTTATACAAGCTGCACGCTCACTACTTTACACAGTTATACAAGCTGTACGCTCACTACTTTACACTGTTATACAAGCTGTACGCTCGCTACTTTACACTGTTATACAAGCTGCACTACTTTACACTGTTATACAAGCTGCACGCTCACTACTTTACACTGTTATACAAGCTGCACTACTTTCCACTGTTATACAAGCTGCACGCTCACTACTTTCCACTGTTATACAAGCTGCACGCTCACTACTTTACACTGTTATACAAGCTGCACGCTCACTACTTTTCACTGTTATACAAGCTGCACGCTCACTACTTTACACTGTTATACAAGCTGCACGCTCACTACTTTACACTGTTATACAAGCTGCACGCTCACTACTTTACACTGTTATACAAGCTGCACGCTCACTACTTTACACTGTTATACAAGCTGCACGCTCACTACTTTTCACTGTTATACAAGCTGCACGCTCACTACTTTACACTGTTATACAAGCTGCACGCTCACTACTTTCCACTGTTATGCAAGCTGTACGCTCACTACTTTCCACTGTTATACAAGCTGCACGCTCACTACTTTACACAGTTATACAAGCTGTACGCTCACTACTTTCCACTGTTATACAAGCTGCACGCTCACTACTTTACACAGTTATACAAGCTGTACGCTCGCTACTTTACACTGTTATACAAGCTGCACTACTTTCCACTGTTATACAAGCTGCACGCTCACTACTTTACACAGTTATACAAGCTGTACGCTCACTACTTTACACTGTTATACAAGCTGTACGCTCGCTACTTTACACTGTTATACAAGCTGCACTACTTTACACTGTTATACAAGCTGCACGCTCACTACTTTACACTGTTATACAAGCTGCACTACTTTCCACTGTTATACAAGCTGCACGCTCACTACTTTCCACTGTTATACAAGCTGCACGCTCACTACTTTACACAGTTATACAAGCTGTACGCTCACTACTTTACACTGTTATACAAGCTGCACGCTCACTACTTTACACAGTTATACAAGCTGTACGCTCCCTACTTTACACTGTTATACAAGCTGCACGCTCACTACTTTACACTGTTATACAAGCTGCACGCTCACTACTTTACACTGTTATACAAGCTGCACGCTCACTACTTTACACAGTTATACAAGCTGTACGCTCCCTACTTTACACTGTTATACAAGCTGCACGCTCACTACTTTACACTGTTATACAAGCTGCACGCTCACTACTTTACACAGTTATACAAGCTGCACGCTCACTACTTTACACTGTTATACAAGCTGCACGCTCCCTACTTTACACTGTTATACAAGCTGCACGCTCCCTACTTTACACTGTTATGCAAGCTGCACGCTCACTAAGTAAAATCCAGAATAGAATTTAAAATCATTCTTCTTACCTACAAAGCTCTTAATGGTCAGGCACCATCTTATCTTAAAGAGCTCATAGTACCTTACTACCCCACCAGAGCACTGCGCTCCCAGAATGCAGGGTTACTTGTGGTTCCTAGAGTCTCCAAAAGTAGACTGGGAGCCAGAGCGTTCAGCTATCAAGCTCCTCTCCTGTGGAACCAGGTTCCAGTTTGGGTTCAGGAGGCAGACACCATCTCCACATTTAAGAGTAGGCTTAAGACTTTCCTCTTTGATAAAGCTTATAGTTAGGGCTGGCTCAGGTGAGTCCTGAACCATCCCTTAGTTATGCTGCTATAGGCCTAGACTGCCGGGGGATTTCCCATGATGCACTGAGCTCCTCTCTCCTCTACTTTCTCTCCCTCTGTATGCAACCTCATCCCATTATTGCATGTTACTAACACAACTTCTCCCCTTCCTGGTAGTCTTGTGCTTTCTCTCTCTCTCTCCTTACATCCCTCTCTCTCTCTCTTTCTCTCTCTCTCTCTCTCTCTCTCCTTCACCCCAACCGGTCGAGGCAGATGGTCGCCCACCCTGAGCCATGGTTCTGCTCGAGGTTTCTGCCTCTTAAAGGAAGTTTTTCCTTGCCTCTGTCTCCTAGTGCTGCTCTTGGTGGGAACTGTTGGGCTTCTGTAAATAACATCATAGAGTTCGGTCTAGACCTGCTCTTTTATGAAAAGCGCTGTGAGATAACTGTTGTTGTGATTTGGCGCTATATAAATAAAATTGAATTGAATTGAACTACTTTACACTGTTATACAAGCTGCACGCTCCCTACTTTACACTGTTATACAAGCTGCACGCTCACTACTTTACACTGTTATACAAGCTGCACGCTCACTACTTTACACAGTTATACAAGCTGCACGCTCACTACTTTCCACTGTTATACAAGCTGCACGCTCACTACTTTACACTGTTATACAAGCTGCACGCTCACTACTTTACACAGTTATACAAGCTGCACGCTCACTACTTTCCACTGTTATACAAGCTGCACGCTCACTACTTTCCACTGTTATACAAGCTGTACGCTAACTACTTTACACTGTTATACAAGCTGCACGCTCACTACTTTACACAAGCTGCGCGCTCACTACTTTCCACTGTTATACAAGCTGCACGCTCACTACTTTACACAAGCTGCACGCTCACTACTTTCCACTGTTATACAAGCTGCACGCTCACTACTTTCCACTGTTATACAAGCTGCATGCTCACTACTTTCCACTGTTATACAAGCTGCACGCTCACTACTTTCCACTGTTATACAAGCTGCATGCTCACTACTTTACTCTGTTATACAAGCTGCACGCTCACTACTTTACACTGTTATACAAGCTGTACGCTAACTACTTTACACTGTTATACAAGCTGCACGCTCACTACTTTACACTGTTATACAAGCTGCACGCTCACTACTTTACACTGTTATACAAGCTGTACGCTCACTACTTTCCACTGTTATACAAGCTGCACGCTCACTACTTTACACAAGCTGCACGCTCACTACTTTCCACTGTTATACAAGCTGCACGCTCACTACTTTCCACTGTTATACAAGCTGCACGCTCACTACTTTCCACTGTTATACAAGCTGCACGCTCACTACGTTACACAGTTATACAAGCTGTACGCTCCCTACTTTACACAAGCTGCACGCTCACTACTTTACACTGTTACACAAGCTGCACGCTCACTACTTTACACTGTTATACAAGCTGCACTACTTTCCACTGTTATACAAGCTGCACGCTCACTACTTTACACTGTTATACAAGCTGCACGCTCACTACTTTACACTGTTACACAAGCTGCACGCTCACTACTTTACACTGTTACACAAGCTGCACGCTCACTACTTTACACTGTTATACAAGCTGCATGCTCACTACTTTACAGTTATACAAGCTGCACGCTCCCTACTTTACACAGTTATACAAGCTGCACGCTCACTACTTTACACTGTTATACAAGCTGCACGCTCACTACTTTACACTGTTATACAAGTACACTGTTATACAAGCTGCACGCTCACTACTTTACACTGTTATACAAGCTGCACGCTCACTACTTTACACTGTTATACAAGCTGTACGCTCACTACTTTCCACTGTTATACAAGCTGCACGCTCACTACTTTCCACTGTTATACAAGCTGCACGCTCACTACTTTACACTGTTATACAAGCTGCACGCTCACTACGTTACACAGTTATACAAGCTGTACGCTCCCTACTTTACACAAGCTGCACGCTCACTACTTTACACTGTTACACAAGCTGCACGCTCACTACTTTACACTGTTATACAAGCTGCACTACTTTCCACTGTTATACAAGCTGCACGCTCACTACTTTACACTGTTATACAAGCTGCACGCTCACTACTTTACACTGTTACACAAGCTGCACGCTCACTACTTTACACTGTTACACAAGCTGCACGCTCACTACTTTACACTGTTATACAAGCTGCATGCTCACTACTTTACACAGTTATACAAGCTGCACGCTCCCTACTTTACACAGTTATACAAGCTGCACGCTCACTACTTTACACTGTTATACAAGCTGCACGCTCACTACTTTACACTGTTATACAAGTACACTGTTATACAAGCTGCACGCTCACTACTTTACACTGTTATACAAGCTGCACGCTCACTACTTTACACTGTTATACAAGCTGTACGCTCACTACTTTACACTGTTATACAAGCTGCACGCTCACTACTTTACACTGTTATACAAGCTGTACGCTCGCTACTTTCCACTGTTATACAAGCTGCACGCTCACTACTTTACACAAGCTGCACGCTCACTACTTTCCACTGTTATACAAGCTGCACGCTCACTACTTTACACTGTTATACAAGCTGCACGCTCACTACTTTACACTGTTATACAAGCTGCACGCTCACTACGTTACACAGTTATACAAGCTGTACGCTCCCTACTTTACACAAGCTGCACGCTCACTACTTTACACTGTTACACAAGCTGCACGCTCACTACTTTACACTGTTATACAAGCTGCACTACTTTCCACTGTTATACAAGCTGCACGCTCACTACTTTACACTGTTATACAAGCTGCTATGTAGGAGGAGTTTACCTGGACATGTGTATCTATGTAGGAGGAGTTTACCTGGACATGTGCATCTATGTAGGAGGAGTTTACCTGGACAGGTGCATCTATGTAGGAGGAGTTTACCTGGACATGTGCATCTATGTAGGAGGAGTTTACCTGGACAGGTGCATCTATGTAGGAGGAGTTTACCTGGACAGGTGCATCTATGTAGGAGGAGTTTACCTGGACATGTGTATCTATGTAGGAGGAGTTTACCTGGACAGGTGCATCTATGTAGGAGGAGTTTACCTGGACATGTGTATCTATGTAGAGGGGGGGTTTACCTGGCTGTGGAGACTTTGGGCACCCTGTCGAGGCTGGCGGCGCTGGTGGCGAGCTTTAAGGCCGACGTTGGGGGGGCAGAGGGTCTAGCAGGGTGGGGGTGGGCAGGGGAGACGGCTCCGGCCTGGCTCCTCTGGTTGGGGAGGGACCGAGGGGAGGATGAGGAGGGGAGCGACCCCCGAGCTGAGAGCCCCAACCTGCTGAGTGACGAGGAGGACGAGTACGGAGGCCTGGAGGGACCTGAGGAGGAGCAGGAGTTTAACAAACACCAAGGATTACTAACACACACATGGTGGCTTCACAGACCGGCCTGTCGTCCTGCTGCAGGTCTGACCTCAGACTGTCCCTCTTACTTAATTTTATGAATGTACTGCTGCTCATCAGATTCAGTCCCTGTGCTTTGTGTTGTACGAGACCTCAGTGGGTTAATAAGGTTCTCCCAGCAGCACCAGAGAACCCTGTGAGGCGGCTCACCTGGAGGATGGAGGACCCCGTTGACGCCGGTCTTGTAGGGTCGGTTCTCACTGCCCGTGTGTCCGTGAGGAGGAGGAGCGCTGATCACAGCCGAGGCTGCAAACTGAGCGCTAGCCGAGTCCAGGGTCTTTGAACTGGACTCACTGGACCTGGAGGACTACAGACCGGAGAGACCGGGATGTTACTCAGAAAACCGATCCAAACAAAGCCCAGACAGACAGATTTATATTTAATACACTTAATTTAAAATAATTTTTAAAAAACGATCAGCTGGCTCGTCCGTAACAACAACAACAGTAATAATCTGTGGCTTCAGCAGGTTCTGAATGAAGAACTCTGTTGGTATCTTTAAAGGTTCTGGTTTTAGAACTGCAATCTTAAATTTTAGTCTTAACTGAGTGAGACTGAACCTCTGAAGGAACCAGCAGGTCCACTGAGACGGTACCTGTGTTCTGTGCAGCGCCGTGTGTCTGTATGAAGTCGTGTTCTGGTTCTGCAGCTGCTCCAGCTGCTGTTTCTGCATCTGGACCAGCTGCTGCTGATGGCTGTGGTACTGCTCCTCCGTGATGCCGCCTGCTGGACACACACAGAACACATTAACTGACTCACCAACAGCTGAGTCCACCGGGCCGGTTCTGTCCGGTCCTCTGCAGCTTCAGAACCTACAGGAGGCCTTTCAGAATCAGCTGACGTGTTCAGTTTGTTGATCAGTCTGAGCTCCTCCTCTGGTCAGGAGCTGCGTAGTTACGGTTTCTGCACAGGCTCTTTTATTTTGAAAATTGCTGTTTGCCAGTAAATAAAATATCTTTATTGTCACACGAACATTTACACAAGTTAAAAACCTGCAGCAGCAGTCCCCGGTGGAATCCGGCCTGAACTCAACCCCTCAGCAGATCCACGTGACCGGAGTGACACCTGCTGACCTGCTCCACCTACAGGACTGCAGAGGCCCAGCAGCAGACTCTGGTCTACAGAGGAGCTGGACTGTATCTGCTCATGCCGGCAGCTTCCTTAAAATTTTCTACACTTGTCTTTTTGTTTTTCTGCCTTTTCACTGAAGCACGCGTTCTTGGGGCTGGCGCTGTTCAGGCCGCTACACTGTGGGGCCAGATGTCCCTCATCTGGGGACAATGACCTCCGCTTCCCGCCGTAAGATCCTGGAAGAGGCTCAGACGCTCTAGAGGTCTTCCTAGAGGGACTCTCTGACCCGGGTCTGATGTTGCTGCCTCGACACGTCTCCCGCCTGCTCAGACCTCTTCAGTCAGAGACCTCTTCAGACAGCGCCAACACCCTCTCCTGCTGGAAGAACCCGCTCTGCATCCCCTTGTCCTCTTTAGAAACATCAGCCGCTCACTGCTGCCCTGGAGCCACGGACCCTGTCCTGGATCCTGGATCAGCTCCCAGGGCTCACTCCAGTACTCTACCCATTGAGTCCTTGTGGGTCAAAGGATGCAGCTGGTTTTAGGTCCCTTTCTGGTCCTGTTCCCACACTGAGCCGTGGAGCAGGTTCAGCAGGATCCTCTCATTAAGGTTTCATGGATCTGAGTCCGCTCCACCAGGCTAGGTAGTCCAATGCAAGCAGCTAACCTGCAGTAGGTCGTACAGTCCGTTCCCCGTGACCCCTGAAGTCCCCTGAACCTGCACACTTCGATAAGGGGGAAACCCTGGTTCAGAGTCCAGCTGTCTGTCTGTGCTGCTTCTCTTCAGCCGAGGTCCGAACGTTTTCACAGTGAGGTCACAACCGGTCACAGTAAAAACTCTCTGCTGGATCGTCGAAGTTTCTTTTCAGATTTCAGATTACAGTTACAGGTGTATTAGAAGATGTCTTATGATGGTTTATTGCATTAAAATAGAGCTTTTTTTACCTGCTGAGGATGAAAATATCAGATTTATTCTGTATTTCATCTCCCTGTAGTCTGTAATGGTAAAATAAATGTGTTAATGTACAATGGATTTGTATCCCTCAGCTTCTGACCTTTCAAAGGAGACCAGAATGATGCATCTAGGCCTGATGGTTGAGGAGATATTACTGATTTATTTTGGGGTTGTTATTTTAGGCGTTTGTTCTGGAAAAAGGTGCCTGTGTCCAACAGAAGTGAATAAAGTGGGACTCTCTGGAGGAGACTCGTCCTCTAACGGTGAACTGATGATCTCTTTCATCAGCCGGGCTGAGACCAGATCAGACCTGACGTCCGGTTAAAGTTTGTCTCACGCCACACATCAATCTGATAACTGCGACTGGCTGAGTGAATCAACTCCACCCGGCTGATGGACCTCCGGCGTGCGCTGTGATAGAAATGAAGCGAACCCGCTCCCCGTGAGGCCGGACAGCTGTGACGAGGGGAACCACAGCTGAGTTTTAATATAAACATCTAGTTTGGGACTGTGAGCTGCTGGAGTTAACGTGTGCTGAGATTCTGCTGATCAGTGGGGTTCAGCTTCCTGTCAGACGGTGTGAAGGGGAAACTACCAGCAGAGCACTAACGTACAGCAGAGTCCAGGACAGGTAGACCTTTAAAATAATGTGACTTCTCTCTGGACAGAGACCTCCTGAAGACAGGAGCTGCTACAGTCCAGGAGTTCCTGACTGAATTAAAATGAATCCTCACGGAGGTGAAAAGGAGCCACAGTCACATTTAAAGAGGTCACTTCCCCAAACAGAGACACACAGAGGAGGAAGACTGAACCAGGACTCAGGAGACAGGAGAAGCTGATCTGTACAGAGAAACAGATCTGAGACTCTGGTGGAGGTTCAGAGTTTCTCTTTACAGAAACTGGAGCAGAAAGATTCAGCTGAACGTTCCAAGTTTCTTACAGATGCTGTAAAGGTCTCGGGTTCAGGTCTGTTATCAAGGCACAGAAATCTCCCAGGACCAGGAGGTAACTCACCTGATCCACAGCTGCTTTCAGGTGACAGAGGACAGGGGAGTCGCCTGTCCTCCACAGAGGACCCTGTGGTCCTTCTGCCCCCCTCCCCCTGCTCCTGAACCGGTCTGGGTCTGAAGCAGAACCTCCTCAGAGTCTGGATGTTGTTCAGGATCTCAGTCAGGGAGGCGGTGGTGGTTCCCGAGGACAGGGGGGGGTTCAGCTCCAGTCTTACTGGGTCGCTGAGGAGACAGGTACTGGTTCTGGTCCTGCAGACTGTATGTGTAAAAGAGTCCAGCTGCCTCAGTACTGGATCCAGACCTGAGGAGGCTCGGTCCAGGATGATCCTGATCAGAGAGACAGAGACAGGATTTAGACCACATACATTCAGTTCTCCATATTAAAGTTCTGGTTCCTGCAGTCCCGGGTCTGGTTCAGACGCTCTCTGCAGAGAGGTGGACCGACTGCAGCAGCAAACATCACACACAGGTTCATCCTCTGAGGAGCAGGACCGGGTTTCTCTAGACCTGATCTCTATATTTAGATATGAGACGTGGGATCCCGTCCTGAACCGAGTCGGACTCTGCGGCAGCTGATCAGACGCCTGGAGCTAAAGACACCGAGCCGGTGAAGAAGAAGAAAAGCGTGAAGCCAGGTGACTGACGTGAGGAAGGACGACTCGCCGCTCACACAGCCGACTGCTTTCTTCTGTGGTTGAACGTTTTAAACGCCTCTTCAACAAAGTCAACTGAACCAAAAGTCAGAATCCCTGTGAGAGCCACTGGAACTGATTAAGCTTAAAGACACTAAAACTAAAATAGTTTGTGTTTGCTATCGAATGCCTGCAGACGACTACAGCTGGGAAAACAGCAGAAAGCCTTACCTACCCCAGGTTTAAATTTCATACCAATCCCAGGAAAAAAGACTGTTTTTACACAGGTTTCCTGAAGGTCTGTCTCAGCGTATTTATTCTAAAACAGCCCCGCCCCCCGGCGGCGGCGGTTGCTGCGTCGCTCCGTATCAGCAGGCAGCTCCACGCAGACGCGTTTTTTTTACTGGTAGATCATGAACTTCCTACTTAAAGCTGGATATCGATATTTTCAGAATTTTACTGGCTACACGAAGTGCCAGTCATCGGCACGGTTTCTTGCAATTGACCCTTCACTAAGCCCCGCCCCCCTTAGTTACTGTTGCTGCACTCCCCGGAGAAACATTGTCAGATTAGCTAGAAAAAGTGAGAAAGAAGCAGACTGTTCCATTATACATCTGAAGGTTTATTCAGGCTGTCAGACGGACTCGGACGGTTTGTTCATTATTACAGTCATTAAAAAGCAGCTCAACTTTATTACGTTACATTCAGTAGGGAGTTAGTCAGCAGTAGGAACGACCCACAGCCGACATGTTTCTGGATTATTTTAAGAATAAATCGTCCTTCTCCTTCCAGCCTCTCTGGGTAGAAACTGTAACTATTACAAGATGCTCCAGGAACAGCGTTTGACCAGATCTGAGAAAAATACGGTCAGAAAAAAGCTGGAAAACGACTCTTTCTGCATGAGAGTCACTGGAGCGCAGCCACGAAAGTGTCGGAGTTCAGTATTCTGCGCTGTGATTGGCCAGCTGTGTATTCGGGGCGTGGCTTAGCGAAGGGTCAATTGGCTCGGCCTACCCAGGAAATAACAGGGGCCGGCCCTTCCTTACAGCGCGGGCTCTCATTGGCTGTGAAAGGGACACGTGAGCTCCTATTGGGTCGGATTAGCTGTCGAAAGGTCAGAGTTCAGCAGCTAATTTGAATACAAGCTATCGTAGCTGTTTATATATATTTTATAATGACATCCGAGCCGCGACGTCCCCGAGGATTTACTGATGGACTAAATGTTTTACTGGATCGTCTGGACCTTTGACAGCGTAACAAGTTTCTGTTGAAGTTACTGTGAGGCTTCATCGGTGAGTCACTTTTCACTGTCCCGGCTGGTCTGACAGAGGCGCTGATTGGACCCGCTGTGGTGACTGTGTCTGGTTTGCACCGGTCCAATCAGAGGATTGCAGCTTTCAGACGGTGGATCATATGAGTATGCAGTTAACATAGCAGCTGTGTGCACAGACCGGGAGCTGCCGCCTGGACCTGACGCCTGCAGGCGGGCCGCTGGGATGTTAACAGGTTAACAGAGGAGCTGCAGGGCGCCCTCTGGTGGGCAAACTCCTGACCTGAGTGAAGGATCAGTTTCTTCTCTGATACTCACAGATCAGCTGATATAAACACAGTTAGCTCTTATCAGCTGTGTTTGTTTACCTGCCCCCCCGTCCTATCCTGCGGCGGCTCAGTCCCGTCCAATGAGGAGGCCGAGTCAGTTCAGTCAGACAGTGACGCAGACACTGAGGGAGGAGCTCTGGACCGTCAACTCCACCCGTCTGCTCCGTACCAGGCTGCAGAAACAAACACACACGTTTAGTGAACGACCAGCTGAGACGAAGACAGAGCAAACTGTAGTGTTCTGATCCGGCTCAGAGACCACGACACCATGTAGACCTGAACCTGAACTCAAAGACCAGGGAACCAGCAGAACACAGAGACTCTCTGGGACCTGGACTCATCAGACGGCTCAGAAAGTACAAGCCGTGTCTTTAAAGGTCATCGTTCTTCTAATGTTCCTTTATTTTAACAGAACAGGGCTCCAGGTTCTGAGTATCTGACACACGTTAATACCTGGAACTGTGTACAAATATTACCTGGATGTAGTTTTTGATCATTTAATTATTTATTTATTTCAATGCACACTAATAACACATAAATAAATGTATGTGTGCCAGAATTAGCCAAAAGGCTATTTTACATCTGCTGTCCCCGGACACATCGTCACACCTCTCAGAAGCGGCTCTCCGCTCCCGGCAGCTCTATTTTCGCCGTTAGCCACGTCAAGCAGCACGGAGCAGATCGAACCGGGCAGGAAGTCAGACACAGAACGGCAGAGAGGATCCGGTCAATTTTCAAAATAAAACACCCTGTGGTGCCTCACGATCGTAAAACAATAATAAACACGGTTAAAACGGACACAAAAGGAAATCATTTAACTACGTAACTTAATCATAGTACAAAAGCACAAAATGATGATATGTTTAGATTTTGTTGATCTGGTAACCAAAGTCAGGCAGGCGAAACGCTCGGATTCTGAAATGCTCTCTGTGGGAAATGCAGCCTGAAGTTGACGGAAGAAACGGGGTCACAGAGAGCCGTGAAGAAGGTAGTAGAAGCACGAAAATGACAAATTAATAACAAGTCATTAACGCGGGGCAGGCTGCACGCTCTGCTGCTGACACGCTTCCGGTGGACGCCGGGCTGTCGACGCATCAAAACCGTGACGCAGCCGTGACGAGCCGTAGACGGAGTCAGTGGATTCCCGGCGTTAGTCTCGCATCAGCTGTTGTGTAAACACTCACATTTAACTTACCCACATCACGAATGACTGCCTAACGCGTGAGCGCGCACGACAACCTAATATTGAGGGTAGCTCAGAATTCGAATAGTAGCCGTAACGTTATGTGTCGGAACTCAGGGCAGAGCGCCCGGCTAACCATAAGCCTAGCTAACGTTACAGGGATAGTCCACCATTTGGGGAATTAAGCTCATTTTCCACCTCCCCTCGAGTAAAACAGTCGTTTTATACTGTTTTGGACACCATTCAACCGATCTCCGGGTCTGGCGGTACCACTTTTAGCATAGTTTAACGTAATTATAATAACGTAATAGTTATGACGACAATATTGTAAATTATATCACATAAAAAAACGGTAGCTAACGTTAACTGAATCAAGCAAACAAATAGCTGTTGTTGCTCCAAAATGCTTGACTTACCTCGAATTTCACATAAGATTCCTTCACGTTATTAGTTTCCATCAGACTCGCGGGGTAGCCGGGAGTCTCATCCAATGGCGAGCTCAGTTGACGCCGTGTGCTTCAAGATGCAAGTGCTAAGATTCCGGTTGGCCCAGAGAAATGTCAACTATCAGAATTATCCAATAATGTTTCGCAATTCTAGCCTGCATGGCATGCAGATGAAGGGCAGCCCCCCCCCCCAAAAAAAAACTCTCCGGTTCTACGCGATTCACATAAACGACCCAATTGACCAAGAAAACGGCGATTGTTGTTTGCAGGTGTGTGTGTGTAGTGTAATATACTGCAGTACCTCTAAGCAGTACTTCAGTATGTTCACAGTATCAGACCCTGGTACTACATGTTGTACCCTGACAGGAGTACTCACAGAGAGGTACTGGCACCCGGCCTTCCTCCTGAAGACAAAGACTCCATCAGGACTGGACTCCTCGTCGGTGGAAGACGGGGGAGACTGAGGACACATGAAAGAGCTCATTCAGAACCAGAACACAGTATTCTGCAGCAGAACCACGGGACCATCACAGAGGCGGTGCTGACCGGCGGAGGAGGCGGACTGTCGTCGTCCCCGGAGCTGTGGAAGTCGTACTGTTTGATGTCGGCCCTGTTGATGGTAAAGGGCCCGGGGGGCCGGCCGGGACGTCTCTGTGGAGGACACGGCCTGTCCCGTCTCAGGTTCTTCTTTGGTCTGATCGGGTCGAAGGGAAGCTCGTCTCTGATGGAGGTCGGCTTCTTCTGGACCTGAAACACAGAGGGACCGGTGAAGAACTAAAGGAAGGGAACCTGAAACACAGAGGGACCGGTGAAAAACTAAAGGAAGGGAACCTGAAACACAGAGGGACCGGTGAAAAACTAAAGGAAGGGAACCTGAAACACAAACAGATCGGTGAAGTACTAAAGGAAGGGAACCTGAAATACAGACGGACCGGTGAAGTACTAAAGGAAGGGAACCTGAAACACAGAGGGACCGGTGAAGACCTAAAGGAAGGGAACCTGAAATACAGACGGACCGGTGAAGTACTAAAGGAAGGGAACCTGAAACACAGAGGGACCGGTGAAGACCTAAAGGAAGGGAACCTGAAATACAGAGGGACCGGTGAAAAACTAAAGGAAGGGAACCTGAAACACAAACAGATCGGTGAAGTACTAAAGGAAGGGAACCTGAAATACAGACGGACCGGTGAAGTACTAAAGGAAGGGAACCTGAAACACAGAGGGACCGGTGAAGACCTAAAGGAAGGGAACCTGAAATACAGACGGACCGGTGAAGTACTAAAGGAAGGGAACCTGAAACATAGAGGGACCGGTGAAGAACTAAAGGAAGGGAACCTGAAACACAGAGGGACCGGTGAAGACCTAAAGGAAGGGAACCTGAAACACAGAGGGACCGGAGAAAAACTAAAGGAAGAGAACCTGAAACACAGAGGACCGGTGAAGAACTAAAGGAAGGGAACCTGAAACACAGAGGGACTGGTGAAAAACTAAAGGAAGGGAACCTGAAACACAGAGGGACCGGTGAAGAACTAAAGGAAGGGAACCTGAAACACAGAGGGACCGGTGAAGAACTAAAGGAAGAGAACCTGAAACACAGAGGGACCGGTGAAGACCTAAAGGAAGGGAACCTGAAACACAGAGGGACCGGTGAAAAACTAAAGGAAGAGAACCTGAAACACAGAGGGACCGGTGAAAAACTAAAGGAAGGGAACCTGAAACACAGAGGGACCGGTGAAAAACTAAAGGAAGGGAACCTGAAACACAGAGGGACCGGTGAAAAACTAAAGGAAGGGAACCTGAAACACAGAGGGACCGGTGAAAACTAAGGAAGGGAACCTGAAACACAGAGGGACCGGTGAAAAACTAAAGGAAGGGAACCTGAAACACAGAGGGACCGGTGAAAAACTAAAGGAAGGGAACCTGAAACACAGAGGGACCGGTGAAGAACTAAAGGAAGGGAACCTGAAACACAGAGGGACCGGTGAAGAACTAAAGGAAGGGAACCTGAAACACAGAGGGACCGGTGAAAAACTAAAGGAAGGGAACCTGAAACACAGAGGGACCGGTGAAAAACTAAAGGAAGGGAACCTGAAACA